TCTGTCCGTTTCTGGAGTTGTAACCCTGTAAATCATATTGTACCAATGTCAATTAGACATTGGAAGTGTGACACAATATTTGAGTTACATTATGCGAATAAATCTTGATAGAATCTACGAGCAGGGGACTTGCATAGTAGAAATCCCGATTTAGATGAAGTAGTACGGATTTCAATAGTTAATTTAGTTAACACTTAATCCAGTGAAAAACCTGAGTACAGAAGATATGAGATCGATAGGTGCAAGTAAGTCTACTGTATAATGTAGCCTAGTGCCTTGCATTAGTGGCAACACCAACTTAGCTTAGCAGCTAACTAAATTGAGAAAATCTACTTTGTGAAACATCTGAAATCTCGGAGGACTATATCTGGTGGAGAGCTACGGAAAGAACTAGATTTGTATGAACATCTATAAGGGTATATACTAGCTTAATTAGGATATAGTACCGTATAGTTGGGATATTCCGCAAGCCCCTCCTGATGAGGACAAAAGAGTACCTTAAGATAGAGCCCTTCTAATAAGGGAATCTGAGGCGCAAAGTTAGTCTGAGTGGTCCTCATTAAGGCAGCACGAGATTGTGCAAGTTTAAGAATAAAATTAAGTTAATAGCTTAGAGATGACAGGAAGCCAGAGAGTTTAAAATAGAGTATTCACAAAGAGATACTAGATATGGTAATTGGTAGGTAACCTTCAGGCAGAATCTTTAAATAGATAATAATTAAAGTTGTATGTGTGACCAATTGTACTCTCACTTAGAGGCTAATCTGTTGAAAAATTATTCAGATATTTAATAAATATTCAAATGTTCAGATATATAATAGTTTCACCAAATCAAATATCGAATATATATATTATTCACTGATTAATTCAATGAATATTCAGTGATATTCAGTAATACAAGTTAATAAATTAAAATTTGTAAATAATGATACAAGTTAGCATTGATTAGAATTGGAAACTAGTAAAATAAAATAACTATTCATTAGTATGCTAAAAGATTTTTAGTAAGTATCCTTAATAGTGTTTGACTTTTGGGATTGCTTTATATATTTAGTACACTCTTGACTTTGATATGATATATTTATTAAAGAATTTCAGCACAGAAATGCTTTCGAACAACATCTTTAGCTCAACTTATATATTTATATTAACAGGCTACATTTAGATGATTCATAAATAGCGACCAGATTAAAATATTTGAAAACTTGAACAAACTCAACTACAGTTTAATTAAATACTAAATATTTAATAAAACAAATTATTATTTTACCCACTTTTACTAAACGTATCTATGGCGTTTTACCACCTATATTGTATTAGCTTAAAAACTGGCCAATTAATTAGTATACAGTATTCTAATTAAGAATGCTCTACACTCCTAATTTTTAGTTATTGTGACCTTTATTAGAGATATGACATAACTCTTAGCTCATATAATTAATAAAACAATAACGCTTATACATAATATTAATCTACTACTTAACCCAAGTTAATCTAATAGCTTAACTATAATATTCGAATATGCAGAATATAAGCATTAGTACAAGCTTATCATTATTAAAATAAAATATCAAACAGTATACACAAAGTTTTTTAAGTTTAAAGCTTACAAAGCTTACATGTAATATCTCAATCTTCTTTTTTAGTTGACCGTTTTTAGCTTTTAAAACTTATATATAGTTAATATAACTAGTACTAGTAATATATAGTAAAAATATTCACCTCTAAGTGAAGTCCTTTAAAAACCTGCAAAACTACTATAGGTACATTTTATAATAAATATTTTTACTAATGTTTAATATTTAACTGACAAAGAAAAAAAATATCATGTTAATACCTAAATATATAAATGTAAAATATAAATACAAAAACCTAATTTATACCTTAAAAATGGAAACTTAATATTCTAAATTTCACTTGAAACAAACTATTTCGTAGATTACTGGCTGTAAGAAATATACAGGAAATCTTAAGGTCTATTGTAATATCTAGAGTTATCAAACTCTATAAATATATATCGTTTAGTGTATTTAAATAAATGACTAATGAGAAAATTGTTCAAAAGATTTACATAAATACAGTAGTTGAACTAACCAGAAAAAGAATTAACCCAACAACTAGTGACATAGAAAATGTTTAAAACATCTTATTGAGAGCATATAAAATATTCAAAAATCTATCTCAAAAAAAAAAAATACTACAGACGATTGATGCAGATCTTTACCTAGAATTTAGCTAAGTATCACATTAAATACATCACACGGTTATAGAGTTTCTTCTAATTTTATTATAATAAAATTGTAATTGCTATAACAAAGAGAAATACAAGTAAGTTATAATAAATAAGTAATATAGTTACTAATAACACAATTGATAAAAAAAAATCATGCACCTATATCTCCAAAAATATTGATAGTATAGATAGTAGTAATAATTTTAGTAGCAATAGTAGTGAAGGTACTAGTTCGTTCTATATAATCAGAAATTTTGCTTTTAGTTATGATATTCAGATTGTATAGACTCAGGTCACTTTCGCATGCCTTAATGCTTTTAATGCAATCTGAGCTATAACCTTATACCCACGGATACAAGGTGCCTAACTCATCTAGCACTTTCATACTTGCACCACAAAAATGCCTAACATAAGCCAAAGTCTTTGCCTGTGCTTTTTGTGAGGCATAGACACATGCTAGAGGCCTATGGATTCTAATGATAGTTGAATATTCTATAAAGAGTAAAATATTCTAAGGCATACTCGTATAGCACGTGACCTTTTCTCGTACTCAGGCCTCGAATCGTTTAAACCAAATAAGTAAAGTAATGAAATTCATAGTCGTGTCCATTCTTTGAATATGAAAAAAATTAATAACAACAAAATGGGCAAGGCTGTGTTAAAGGCTGTGCAATTAAATGTAAAAATCTATAGTAAAATTCTAAAAAGCCTTCGAATTCATGCTAAAAAGAAATTAGAAGAATGCTTAGTATAAGAAATTCATATGTAAAATAAATATGAAATATTTAATTATTTTCGAAGATTAGCTGGTACAAATCAAGTCTATCAGAAAAAAAAATCTTAGATGATTACTTCCTTCTTTTATAGCCCTTTTCAATGACTTTTTTGTTCTCTTCATTGAAAATTCATATGATAGAATAGATTAGATGGAATGTAATTGAAATTTTTGTAAAGTTATAAAAGAAAGGAAAAATCGAATTAATAAAATCATTGAATTCGAGTTAGCAATAACTCGAAGAAAGCTCCTTTGTATCTCTAAAACATTTAAATTTTTATAAAAAAATTCTGTATATTGCCATTCTTGTCTTATTAATTGTTGTAATTTTGAATTCTCACACAAGTCATACATCTCAAATAAAGTCTTCTAAAATTTTCGCTATCTGTTTATATATCTGTGATAGAAGATAATGATTTACAGTACTCTTCGTCAGTTCAGTTATTTAATGAACTATATACAGACCAATTCGAAAGCCAAGTATTAGAGAACACATATACTAGTGAAGAAAGCAACAATGAACAGCCTGAAAAACTAATGTATAAAAAAACAAAATTGGGCCATAGAGGTGGATCAAAAAAATGAAGTTGAATGTGGAAATATTTCATATCAGAAAATGTAATCGAAACTCTAGAAGGGTCTAAAAATATCAAGGTTGAAGTTACATACAGAATTTGTTGTGTATCAGATGATTCAGGAACAAAATGTGATACATGATTAAAGATATTAGGCAGATCAACCTCAAATTTAATATTTCATTTAACAAACATCTATAGTATTATACCAAATAGACCTAAATTACATGAAGAAGATGTATAAATTATTTTTTATATGGCAATTACAGTCTACTCTTTCTAAACCAAACCTAGATAAAATAAACATCTAATTTTGTCTAAACCAAACTTAAAAATTTAATTTTATTATAAGTCAGTTTAAACACTACGCTTTTTAAAATAAATCCTTTTTCATAAGCCCCGAGGGTTTGGTGCAGAAAGTATTGACTGTAATAGTTTTTGTAAAAATTATTTAATAATAAAATTTTCTTATCTAGCCCAAGCAAATCAAAATCAATTTTTTTGCAAAATCCAGTTCTCATCTACATACTAAATCGAAGAATGATAAATTGACTAAAGCCCTTGTTAAGTTTCTTATTCAGGACGCACAACTAATTAGTCTTGTAGTAAGCCCTAACTTTCATAAGTTTATAAAGGAATTAGATCTAGATGTTTAGTTTACCTAATGAAAAACATGTAAAACAAATAATTCATACATTATATAATAAGTCTTCTGAGATTATGAAAAAAAAGCTTAAGAATTCTATAACATATTGTTCACTAACTACTGATTTGTGGATATCTCATAACAGACAAAGGTATCTTGGTATTACCTGCTCGTAGCTAGATTCTGATTTTAAAATCTATGAAGTATTACTTTCTCTTACATATGTTAAATATCCTCATACTGCTGATGTCATTAAAGAAAAATTAGAAGAAGTAATTAAAGAATGGGATCTTACAGAAAAGGTATATTCAATTATAACTGACAATAGGGCCAACATGAAAGTGGCAATTAAGAAAATGAGTAATATAGTAAGAATCCTCTGTTCAGCTCACATATTACAACTCGTTGTTAGAAAAGGTTTAATGCCTGTCGAAGTACTTGTGGTACAGGCTAAGCAATTAATCAATTTCTTTATAGCACCAAAGCAAAGCGAATGACTTGAAGATGCTCAAAAAATGCTTAGACTTCTGGAGAAAATGTATGTATAATTAGAATATGTGTAACTTAAACAAAAACTCACTTCATTAACAATTGTTTCGCCAATATAGAGTTATCAATATAAATATTTCAAACTACAATAAAATACATAAACTACTCTACTTTTAAATTAGAATGGTTTATATATTTTATTGTAGTTCAGAATATTTTATTGATAACTATAATGACAAGATGTTCTATGGTCTCTATATTTGTATAATATATAGATATTTAATGACTAAAAAATCTATCATCATAGATAATTACCAAAACTTCAACATAACTTCATGCAAAAATGGATATGTCAACTCGTTAGAATTCATCCTTTCTTGCCTGGAACGACTTCTACTTATTAAAGATGCCATCAATATTGTCTTAGCAATATTAACCATTTCAAATACACCTAAAGCGCGAAAAGATGTAAAAAGGTTAAAAGAAATACAAATAACTGATAATAAGTAGGATTTGATGCAAGATATTGTTAATATTTTGGGTCCTTTTTTGAAGTTACAGAAGTACTGAGTAGTTTCAAATATGCTACATTTTCCTCTATGATTCCTTCTATTTTAGAATTGATAGAAAAGTTAGATTACTCTATAGACTACTCAAATGAATCGAATTATGTAAACTTTGAAACAATTGACTTAGTATTCGATGATAATGTTGGATATGTTTATGCACAGAAAGAGGAAGAAGGTAGTCCTAAAGATCGAAAAATTAAAATTAATACACCCATTGATGTTACTAATATGCAACACAAAATTAAGAATGCATTATATAATGTACTTTTACACTATTAGAATTTGTCAGATAATAAATTATTCCTTGCATACCTTCTGGATCTGAGATTTAAAAAATTAAGATTTGCAATATCAACTCAACAACTCCAAGCCAAAGCTGCCTTTCGAGAAAAATATAATGATATTAAATTACTTCAATCTTTACTAACCCTAATAAACCAACCTTTAGATATCTATGAAGAACAACCTTTTGCTGAAAATAGTCGACGCCAAATTTATCAAAAAATATTCATCAAATTAATTTTTACACATAATACCATTGATGAGCCAAATGATGAAATAAGCCATTACTTTTCTTTATCTGAAGTTTTTTAACATCATAATCCCTTTTACTGGTGAAATACTCAAAAAACTTCTTTTCCTCTCTTAAGTGAACTTGCAAGACAGTATCTTGCTATACCTGCGACTTCAACTCTGAGTGAGTGACTTTTCAGCGAAGCAGACAACATAATGACTATAAGAAGAATGATGCTAAAACCAAAATTATTTGAACAGTTGTTATTTTTAAAACAAAACTGTGATGAATTAGATAATACTTATAATTTGATTGTGTAAAATTTTTTATTTTTTTTTTTGAAAAGATTGATTTTTTTTTTTAGTATTATTATATTATTTTATCCTTATTTTTTTTTTCTTTTTTTTCTTCTTTTTTGTTATCATAATAATGGACGTGAGATGTAAATTTTTATATTATTCTATCTCCGTCATCCTTTCCCTCTGTAAGTAATAGCTTGAAATACATAATTGTTTAACCTGAATCATTAAATATAAATTTCTTTTACAAAAATCAATTTTATTAAATAAAAATAGATTAAAAAAAACAGCTCAGTATAATAATTTGCATAACCTTTTCAATACAAACTTTCAATTTTAAGAATAATCAATAATTTTCTACAAAGTACAAAAAACTTTCTACTGTAATTTAGATTTATAGGTTCAAGGAAACTTTAAACAGATTCTAATCTTATCAAATAACGGTTACAAGAACATTGTTTTAAATCTAGTATGTTAGAGATGCTAAAGAACAGAATTGCTGAGATCTGGAGCTTGGAGATCTAAAACTAGCAAGCGAACTAAAGCCAAAAAGGAACTAATTAATACTTATATTAAAAACCTTATGAGTTCTGTAATTTAAAAAGTCAAAAATAAATTTTGTATGTAACTAAAGAAGTATGCATCATCAAATATCATCAAATATTATCGAATATATTCGATATTTATTCAGATTTTTCATCAGTTATTCGAATATAAAATGATTGACCAAATGAATATCTGAATTGTCTTTTTTTTGACCAAATCAGATTTCTACTCTTACTAACCAATGTAAATCTACAAACAACTTAATAAAAATTAACTGGCATTGAGGCCTTGTTGTAAAAAAAAAAAAAAAAAAAAAAAAAAAAAAAAAACTTATCTTCACTTTTTTGTTTTTGGCCAAATATAATAATTTAAAAAAAAAAACTACTTTCACTTAATTTTTTTTGGCCCAATCTATTATAATTTAAAAAAAAACTTATCTTTGCTTAATTTTTTTTAGCTAAATATAATAATTTTAAAAAAAAAACTTACTTTCGCTTAATTGTTTTTGGCCAAATATGATAATTTAAAAAAAAACTATTTTCGCTTAATTGTTTTTAGCCCAATCTATTATAATTTTAAAAAAAAACTTATCTTTGTTTAATTGTTTTTGGCTAAATATAATAATTTTAAAAAAAAACTTACCTTTGCTTTATTGTTTTTGGCCAAATATAATAATTTAAAAAAAAAACTACTTTCGCTTAATTATTTTTAGCCTAATCTATTATAATTTTAAAAAAAAACTTACCTTTGCTTAATTGTTTTTGGCCAAATATGATAATTTAAAAAAAAAACTACTTTTGCTTAATTGTTTTTGGCCAATATAATAATTTAAAAAAAAAAACTTACTTTTGCTTAATTGTTTTTGGCCAAATATAATAATTTAAAAAAAAAACTTACCTTCACTTAATTGTTTTTAGCCAAATATGATAATTTAAAAAAAAAAACTTACCTTCGCTTAATTGTTTTTAGCTAAATATAATAATTAAAAAAAAAACTTACTTTCGCTTAATTGTTTTTAGCCAAATATAATAATTTAAAAAAAAACTTACCTTTGCTTAATTGTTTTTGGCCAAATATAATAATTTAAAAAAAAAAACTACCTTCGTTTAATTGTTTTTGGCTAATATAATAATTTAAAAAAAAACTTACCTTCACTTAATTGTTTTTGGCTAAATATAATAATTTAAAAAAAAAACTTATCTTTATTTAATTATTTTTGGTCAAATATAATAATTTAAAAAAAAACTACCTTCGCTTAATTGTTTTTAGC